TGCATCGGAATTCAGCCAAGTTTAAATTGTGTATTTTGTAACGATTATTGTCTGTGTAAAGATAATTCAAGTAAGGATAACCTGAACCATTTGTTCAACATGTTTCACATGAGAAAAGTAGAACAGTTTATAGGACTTTTTACATGGTATTCTTTCTAAACACCGATGAAATATTTGTTCAAAATTGTCACTATCATTTCACGTTAAACGATAGTTTGACTGATGCTTGATTAGAGGTACATTTCTTTGTAATGCATTACACTGACGACGGTTGTCCCACATCATGTCTTTTATTTGCTTGTTTGGTTGCCTTGTACGGAATTACTACTGTAATAAAATGTACAAAACAAACATTTGTGTGTTCTTCTTTCTGGTAAAGAGCATCTCCTCGTGTGTGGACATTTCCGTGTTGTGCCCTTCACCTTCACCCATAAAGGGTGTTTCCGGTAGAGCAGTGGGCATCCTTTTCCTTGTTTGTTGTTTTATACCGCAGGCAGCAATCTTCCACCTGTTCTCAAACTGTAAAGAACTGAGTTTCCACCAGACAAGACAGTGATTGCCATGCATGATGATCATCGATATAGGCAATTTGGATCTCATGATATATGTGGTACAGTATCAGATAGGTCATCTAGCCTCTATACCTACCCAGCCTCCATGGTATATGTGGTACAGTATCAGATAGGTCATCTAGCCTCTATACCTACCCAACCCCCGTGGTATATGTGGTACAGTATCAGATAGGTCATCTAGCCTCTATACCTACCCAACCTCCATGGTATATGTGGTACAGTATCAGACAGGTCATCTAGCCTCTATACCTACACAATCCCCGTGGTGGCCACCTGTCACAAGAAAGGAGGGAAGAAGAAGCCTTCTCACCTTAAACGGAAGCATCAATGTTACTGTTGATAAGTAAGAGGATGACATTCCAAAGTGTGCTGCGTCAGTGTTATCAATGAGTAGATGTGAACCATCGTACATTTGTAAAGATGTTCAAAGACCAGGGTTAAGACTGGTCTTCAGCAACTCGTGTTTGTCGCAACAGGAAGTTGACAGTTTGGGTGGTCAGGAACACATACTTGCTTGATTCATGTCATTGTAGCCCAATTGCACAGTCGATGCACATGATGTTAATCACTAGATTATCTAGTCAAGACACGAATATTTACATACCGCCGTCATGTACTGAGATACTGCTGAGTGCGACGCTAGACAACAGACAAAGATGATCCAACCATTAATCAGAAGGTGCTACCAGTTCTTAAAGCCACAGTTGATGGCAACATCCATGAAAGAAACTTTCCAACTTTTAGGGAATATATATGCTGAAATATTAAATGGCAAGTTGCTAATTGTTTATCGACGTAACATCGTTCAAAGCAGTGTAACGTTTTACCCATTTCTGACCGACATCGATTGAACAGAGTAATTGTGAACGTATAACCAGCTGAACACGTAGCTTACTACAGTACAGGAAAGAGACGCCTGTACGTTGTTTAACGAGTATCTAGCAAGTGAAAGACTATAAAGAAATTGTATGAATTTAACTTGACTTCCGCCCGGCTTTCACAACTGAACGTGTCCATGTCAAAGGGCAGCACGCACGCGCAGTCATACACACAGATATACACCAGTATACCCTTTGTGATCTTTTCACTGCTGGAATATTAAGCCGAAATGATGGAATTTTCAGTGAAAACCTTTCACTTCAAGAAATCTAATCCCAATGAAGTCAGAAGGACAATAATGACAACTAGAATATGGTGACATTAAGTAAGATGACGGAATTTCAATCAAACAGCTTTCACTTCAAGACATCTTATCCCGATGAAGTCAAAGGACTATCATTTCATAACATCCAAAATATGGTGGCATTACTGTTCTGGAGTGGAAATGATTATTGCAGTGAAACTAAGCAGGATCAACAGATGAGTTTACGGGAATTCCGCATGGGTATCATTTGTAAATTCGTAGTTAATGCCTACATTTACCTGGCTGGAGAAGCGTATATTGCACAACAGGTTATTCTAAAGATTAATTATAACATTTGGAAGGAAGTTTTGTTATAAAGGTCAATGCACCTGATGTACTGAGATGATGGTTTACCTTCTGATGAAGATACGGCGAGCAAGTCTGTCTGGTATAATAATGAAATCAAAATTGATGGTTAGTATATTTATTTTCCAACAATGACATTGAAAAGGTACAGCATTCGTACATGATATCATTAATGATACGGAGAAACATAATCGCGACATTAACATATGAACATAACAACTTCATCTCTTAGTCGCGTTAAATATTTGAACTGGAGAATGAATTATAAGAAAATAGCATTTCAAGCCGATTGGATGGGAGTGAATAGGGGGAGAGGGAGAATGAGGGATTGACTCTATGGTAATAAGGTCATGTGCAGTTACTAATACAAGACCAAGTGTATAACAATTTGTAGGGCTATCAACCAGGAAAGTAAGTGCTATAAATAGATTGCAATGCAATAACTCCGAGATATGTTATCTCAACACACGAAAGACCTTTCTACATGTATGTAGAGAGCATGCGCGCAGAGAACGTGACACCAGGTCACTTTGAGTGGGGAGCAGGCTTATTTTATTCCCTGAGAAACTCACCCTCGCGGACTTGGCTCACATGTGTCAACGCAGGGGAAACATATGGCGTCAACTATTTCAGTCTTTCTTCACGACGTCTACGACCAGTACACATTAATCAAATGGCCGCAGATCAAGTTGTCAAAAGACTTAAGTTTATATTCTATAGTGTTTGGTCATTGTTTAACGTCACGCTCCGAAATAGGTAAACTGTCGAATATGGACCTGATAATCCAGTGATCATTAGTATCGACCTTCGCAACCATTATACGATGACATGTGTCAGCCAAGTCAGCCTGACCACCCGATCCTGTTAGTCGCTTCTTACGACAAGCATGGGCTGCTGAAGATCAGTTCTAACCCGGATCTTCATTGGTACATGTTATTTCTCACAGAATGAAGACCCTCAGAACCTCACGGTGTACAGATATTTGACTAACATTCACACTCATGATCAGCTGGATATCCTATAAGACTTTGAAAACAGATCTCACAGATCAGTAAGAAGTGAGTGAGTGAGTGAGTTTTACGCCACACTCAGCAATATTCCAACTATATGGCCGCGGTCTGTAAATAATCGAGTCTGGACCAGACAATCCAGTGATCAACAGCATCGGCATCAATCTATGCAATTGAGTACCAATGACATGTGTCCACCAAGCCAACGAGCCTGACCACCAGATCCCGTTAGTCGCCCCTTACGACAAGCATTGGTTACTGAAGATCAATTCTAACCTGGATCTTCACGGGTCAGATCAGTAAGAAGAATTAAGCCACAATACATTATAGAAACACTTCAAATATAAGGATAAAGTCAGGTAAAGACTTACCCAAGAGTACCTGAAGTATTAAGGTGGAAGTCGAATAAGGCTGATCCGTATTAAATATATCTTTTAAACAGATTATCAAGAAACATGGATAGAAGATATATTTATTATATAAAGACGATACTAACGACATGGAATTCCTGTCTATCAGGTGCACGATCAGGGAGATGGTTCGGTTCAAAGTAGGTTATAACAAAATACGATTACATCATCGGACAGTACGATTCCGACCGGAGGTAGTGGAATATTACTGTCGCCTGAGGAATATATGCTAATCTTCTTTTAGAAATTACTGAGATTAAAAGCTTGTGAGCCCCCTTTAAACCAGCAAAATACAACACAATCAAGTCTATTATATTCAATTATATAGGGAATATATATAGCTACAAAGAATGTCAGTACAGGTTTCCAATACAATACTATTGGAAAATCAAGATTTATGGATGTCGACTTCTTTATTGTGAATAACAATACAAGTATACAAGAAGAACAATACAACAATTGTGAAATTGACATCCAAAAATGTTGTTTTTCTTATGCATTCCACTTCTAAATGTCCTTCAAAGACAATACTATTGGACCACAAATCCAAAATATTGGGTCACAAATCTAAACTATTGGGTCACAAATGTTAAATAATAACTCACCAAAGTCTTGATATTACCACTAAATACAGATGTATTGATTGAAGACAGCTGTTGAAAGTTCATTGTAGACGAGGCCTCTTGAGTGGTAGGTCTTGAAACGTCGATGTTAGCAGGCAGATGGACGTAAATCCAAAGTCATCCCCCATACATCAACAACCATCCCTTATATACCTATTATACAGTTCTGTTTTTTTCTAGCAAAAACCATGCCACGCTACGATCTTCTCACAGCTTCCACAATCCGACCGGAAGCAAAACAAACAAAGGGAGGTAACTCCTCAGCCCACTCTCAACAGGTGACATTACATAGCCCAAGTTCAAGACGAAAGTTCAAATCCACATTCAGCACCTCAAATATTTGTGACCCATGTTAACTAAAAGTTAATTATGAGACATTGTAATTAACAAATCACATCCTCATAACGAAATACATATTCCAACTGAATAGCCTACTTGTATATATCAATGCGAATGTTCAAAGCAAATAGCTGCACTATATCATATCCAAAGAAATGGTCAAACTAAATGACACATTTCATATCAAAATAAATGTTCAAATCAAATGGCTATATTACATATCAAACTAATATTTAATCTACATGACTATATCGCATATCAAAGTAAATGTTCAAACTAAATGACTATAAAACATATCAAACTAAGTGTTCAAGCTAAATGACTATATTACGTATGCAGAAATCACTTGTTTACATATATATATATATCACATAGATAAATAAAAACAGACTGCCTTTTTCTCCAACATGTGTCGTTCTTTACTCTTCAGGGAGATTGGAGCAGTTACGGTATGACGTCATTACATATATATTGTGACGTCACAATATGTATTTCATATATACACACACACACACACACACACATATATATATATATATATATATATATATAAGTGAATGGCTACAATATATACATTGCAAACAAAATGCACCCCTAAATTTGTAATGTCTCATACCGACGGATGGGAGACCATCAAACAATGTGACCCCATACAAATGTAGTGTGTCATACACTGGGGTGGTACATGAGCTTTTACACAATATGAACCCCAATACATGCTACGTCTGTATACGGGGATGTCTTATTGTGCCTCTCAAGCATGTAGCGTCTCATACACAGGGGGCTGCACATGGTCCATCTTCTCGTACACGTGATCCGGCTGGGTCACACTGGTTATTCCATCTCCTGCATCTCCCGTGTCATTCTCGTAGGTGGGGTTTCTCACGGCACCAGCAGTAACGCCTGTCTTCTTCTGCTTGTTCGTAACGACCATTCTGTAAACAAGTTGTTAAAATATTAACTCGTATTCGTTGCTGACACGCAAGCAAATATTCAATTGATGAACATAATTCAATTCAATGCCAAAACTGTATTACATCCTGATTTTATAGCTCCTAATTTGATAATAACAGTGTAAACAAAAGTAATTGTATCCTAAAATTAATCCGAATTTTATGTTATATATAAAAAGTGAATTTTAACTAAATGAGTGAGTGAGTTGGCTTTTACGCCGCTTTTAGCAATATTCGAGCAATATCACGACGGGTTTTAACTGAATGAAATACTTGACTCTTCTTTCTTGTGGGTCCCTACATTTTAACCTTAATGAAAGAATATTGGTATCTATGGTTACCTTCTACATCTGACCAGGAGGATCACGAGAACCAGCACAACCAATCCCAGAAAGACACATACAGACACGAGCGCCCAGACAACAAGGTTCCAATCTGCAGTACAACATGACAGGTAGACATATTAACAGCCACACAAAATGTGTCACGGTGTGGTCCTGTGCATGGCAGGTAGACATATTAACAACCACAAAACCATGTGGTGGTGTGGTCCTGTGCATGGCAGGTAGACATATAACCAGCCACAAAACCATGTGGTAGTGTGGTCCTGTGCATGGCAGGTAGACATATTAACAACCACAAAACCATGTGGTGGTGTGGTCCTGTACATGGCAGGTAGACATATTAACAACCACGAAACCATGTGGTGGTGTGGTCCTGTACATGGCAGGTAGACATATTAACAACCACAAAACCATGAGGTGGTGTGGTCCTGTGCATGACAGGGAGACATATTAACAACCACAAAACCATGAGGTGGTGTGGTCCTGTGCATGACAGGTAGACATATTAACAACCACAAAACCATGTGGTGGTGTGGTCCTGTGCATGACAGGTAGACATATTAACAACCACAAAACCATGAGGTGGTGTGGTCCTGTGCATGACAGGTAGACATATTAACAACCACAAAACCATGAGGTGGTGTGGTCCTGTGCATGACAGGTAGACATATTAACAACCACAAAACCATGAGGTGGTGTGGTCCTGTGCCTGACAGGTAGACATATTAACAACCACGAAACCATGAGATGGTGTGGTCCTGTGCATACAGCCCAGGTCACAAATCAGTTGAAGTTAAACAACGTTGGTCACATAGAGTCAGTGTTGACGGTGTTCGGCAGCTTGACTCCTGAGAGTTTCTATGACTTCCGTCCTGACACACAACGAAGCATTCGTGACACACGTGGTCTGACACACGCGAATGGGTACCCGGCGGGATAAGTCAGATAACTGTCAAGTTTCTAGCTCCTCACAGGCAGCGTGAATAAAGGCGCTTTATGAATAGCCATCATTGTCTTTATTATTATTCCAAGACAACACCGATGCCAACTTCACCACAGTGGTGGACATCACTGACCAGGGTACTGTTCAAAGCAGTATAGTCTGTTTGCAGTGAAAAACGTATCAATGAATTTTACTTTAAACAAAAAAGTAAAATCAGATAAAGTGAAATTACGATTGCGAATCCTCATAATTTTACCTTTCCAATTGAACATGTAAATCTCAGAATGTTATTCAACTTAGGATAAAAGTTGTTTGACAAACGATCATACTTACAAATCGCTATTATTGGTTTGTATTACAAGGGGGTATGGACATTAAATGAAACACCGAGAACAAGTAGGGTTGGTTTAAGTTAACGCTCATAACGTACCGCACGTGCATTTGTTTCACTGTTCCAACTAATTCGCTTACCCCTTTGTAATACAAACCAATAATAGCGATTTGAAACCAAAGTTTTATCCTAAGTTGAATAAGATTCTGCTACGCGCCTGCCAGGTACATAGAACCCAGCAACGCTGATGGAGCCGTGTAATAAAAAACCCTTCGTGATAACTAGCTTCATTGTTTATACCTTCATGATATAATTCTTGAACCACGTTTCCGGCTTGACACGTGCCGTTAGCGGGATGACAGGGGGCGCCGCCAACACATTGGTCACACAGATTCCCGCAGCGCTCACCGTAGGTACCATTTGGACATGCTTTCAAAAAATACGCCATGTGTAAAGATCTCTCTGACGAATTCATTAGCCATCGTTCAAATCTGATAATCAAAACACTAAATTCATATTCATATCGTCTAGGTACTAAAAGCGATAGAGCCATATCAGATCTAGTGGACAGGTGAGCACCCGGAAGGTACAAAAACTTAAATACCTCCACCTACATTCAGACCATTTAAGACAACATCAGGTGCACCCAACTTAAACCTAACGCTGATGGCCCGACCATTCATTGCGGTAAAGCATGGTGATGTCTCAGTCATCTAAATACGCTAACCACCTTGGCCTGAATTATTTATCAGGTAATTTGAACGTCAGACTAGGATGTTATCTTTGTTCAAGATAAGAAAGCAACTCAACAAAAACTATAGTCGTAAATCTTTAGCTGAACATAGAACACCGTCGCAACTCTGTAGTTGAAAGGACATCACTGTCGTGATTCTGTAGCTTGATATTGTTCACTGTGTTCAGTCTATAGTTTAGTACAGATCAGTGTCGTAACTCTATAGTGTAACTCAGACTACAGTCGTGACGTACTTGTTTCGGATAGACTTCTGTCGTGTCTCTTTAGTGTAGCAGATAATGCTGTCGTAATTCTGTACTTTAACAAAGACTACTGTCGTAACTCTATAGTTTAACACAAACTGTGATTTGAGTACCGTACACATTATACATTGCAACCAACACCCATGTTCAAGTGGACGCTAACTCAAACAGCTCGAGCGAATGCTAATAACACAGCTTTCTCACAGTGCCTTTGCTCGAGAGCTTCTGAACAATTTGTTGGAATTAAGTTTATTATAATCAGTACTATTATTTATTATAACTCCTTCATACACACCAGTAGTGCACGTGTCGCCAATCCAGCCAGTGTCACACCCATCTGCACAATGGCCATCGATGTTGTCACAAGCACTTCCATTGAAGCATTTACCACATTCCTGGGTACACAGCCGACCATACCATCCAGAGGGACACCCTGTTGAACGATACACAGATACAGCACGTTCACACTGTGTGATAGAGATACACTGCCGACCATACCACCCAGAGGGACAACCTGTTGAACGATACACACATACAGCACGTTAACACTGTGTGACAGAGATACACAGCCGACCATACCACCCAGAGGGACAACCTGTTGAATGATACACAGATACAGCACGTTAACACTGTGTGACAGAGATACACAGCCGACCATATCACCCAGAGGGACAGCCTGTTGAACGATACACAGATACAGCACGTTAACACTGTGTGACAGAGATACACGTCTTGATCTACAGTAAATCCACAATCAATGTTTCAATTGTCAACGTATGCCCATAGCTGATCAAAAGATATGTACTAATGTCTTAATAATGTACTAATGTACAATATACGCTTAACTTGAGTCTACCTAATATATCATTACTTTATGTCCTGAAGACGGTAGCACGTATGCCCCCAAGAATGGATGTGTTAAAGTACACATGGGAGCGTGGCCCACAGCCTCCAGGAAGTACATCCACTGTCCCCCTGAAAGGAAATTCATTAGTCAGTTCATGGCAATATTTTGTCTTGTAGACGAAAGGTAAGTTTCAACATCGTTCTGAACGTGTACATATTTATAATGCAACTGGTATTCCGTAAATGAATGATAATTTAATTTTTCTTCAGTGACGCAAAACAGCTGATTTATTGTTAAGTGGCAGTAAATAGTGTTCATGTTTATTGTTGTGACTGTAAAATTATATACCGTAATAGTTTAACGGCAAGCGCGCTCACTGACACCCACAAACATGCATACGCATTTCAATACTGTGTCTGAATACAACGTAATGGATATTACATATGAGGCTCCATGTAACATTTACCTGTCTCCAAAAGGCCCAGCATACAGAACACCTTCGAACTCATGAACAGACAGATATGAAGTGTCGTTACGGTACACAGTGGTAACGTTCGTCTCCAAGTCCAGGGATCCCAAAGTGCTCACTGAAGTGTCGGCGTAGTACAGTCTGTGACCTGCGACAGAAGACGCTGTGTTCGTATCTGAGACAGCTGCCATACTTGACTTGATAGATGGCAATAAACCTAAATCACTTGTCCATTATTATTCCAGCTAAATAAGGACCAGCAAGTCTTTCGTCAGAGTAACGACATCTTTGGAAGCCTGGGAGGCGTTTTGTATACTTGCCACATAAAGAAACTGTGCACACAGAAAATATAAAGATAGACAGACAGTGTCTTTATACATAAATAAAGGTGTGAACATAGCAAGTATTGGAGACAATCAAACGCGCATGCAGGTGCCAGGCGACGTGACGTCATTAATGGTGGCCTATGGACTTGCAATGTGTTACTGCACATGCAGCCTGTGCAGCTGCACACAACATGTGAAACTCAGACATTGCTGTCACTGTCGAAAGCTTGATCTTTGGTCATTCAAACGTTCACAAATTCACATGAGAATTCATATGCACATCATGCCAAAATTAACATGTGCTCAACGTCACGAAACCATTGGAATGGTTCGAGCAGGCATGAGCCAACAACAGGTGGCAGCACATTTCAAATGTCATCGTAACACGATATCTGCATTGGTCAGTTGTTATGGAAACAGTAATGATGTCATCGACCACCCACGTTTTGGGCGTCCCCGAGTAACGACGCCAAGACAGGACGGATGGATTCAGGTGAATAATCTCAGACACAGGTTCCAGACGGCAGTGACCACTTCCCAAACCATTCCCCAGGCCTTCAATGCTCATTTGGTAGTCTATATGCGTCGTCAATGCACTGCTGTGCTTCACGCGCATGGTGGCCATACCCGTTATTGACTTTGTCACTTCGTCGTGTGACCCCCTACTCAATTTTGAACTTCTGACGTCATCTTTACGGATATTGTTCATGTTCTTCATGAACTTCAGCTTATAAAGTGTCTACATCATTTCGTCTTTTCTGTGTTGTATTCCAATTCTGAAGGAATTTTCTGTGTGCACAGTTTCTCTATGTTTCTGGGTCTTGCTCTGAGGATTGGACCTTTTAAAAAAAAACTTATGGTAGTAATGAATAGATCGAGTCCAAAACACGGTTATCTGCCGCTACCCATTCTCTGCTTTGTGAATCCATCTGTTTATTATTTTAGATAATATCTTTAAAAGGACAAAAAGAACCCAACAAAACATCGAAAAGGTTACCAGCTCGAGTTATTATTATTTTCTATTTTGGTAAAAAACAAGAGTGACAAATCAGCTTCATTGACGGAGTGATTTCCTAGAGATATTTAAGATCTATTCAAAAAAAATGTGACTCTCTAATTGTCTTTTATATTCACATCCGCAGATGTTGAAAGACAAGGATTCTGGGCAAGGTTGAATATGTAACCGTCTAAACAGCAAAACGTGTGAACTTAATTACCTTCCTTACCTTCAAACATCATACCAAAATGATGGCCATTCTTTTTGTTTAGTAGGGTGACATAGTTACTCCCGTCGTAGTTCATCATTGTGATTTTTGTGACAAATGCTAGAAACAACTTCCTGCAATGTAAAACAGTATTTCAACAGTTTGCTTTTCGCCGGTTGTCAAATCATTGTTGGCATACTTACTTTACATGGCTTTATCTTGAATCTGTTATTTAAATTTTAGTTGACTGTAATTCTTACTTGTTCCGAGTGTCGATCGCGATTCCCCATACAGGTGAATTTTCAATCGGAACCTTTGTCAGGATCTTTGTGTCCATGTTTATCTTCCACAAGGAGCTATTATCATCATCTTTCAGGTCGAACACAAAGACTGCCCTTAGTTCGGGATCAAGGGCCATTCCATATAAACCTAAAAAGTTGAACCAAAATAGTACTTCTTTAAATACAATCACAAAAACGATACACACATCTGCTGATCTGAAGGGTGATCTCTATCAACATCACAGTGTTTACCTCAGTAATTTAAGATGGCTTCTTTGGTGGGTACGTGTTGGTGAGTTTATTTGTTTTAAGTTCGTAATTATCAATTTACATCCTTACTTCTGGAGACGTTCACCCACGTTTCGTAGTCTTCTCCTGAAGACTTGACCCTACAAACAGATTTGAGAACAAAGTCGGACCAGTAGACGTAGTCGTAGACCGGGTCGTATACAGGACATCTGGGGTTGGGGGTGTGGATCGGGAGAACACTGCAGCTGGACCTGCCATCCAGGGTGCATCGATACACGCTCCCGTTGACATCTACACCTGCACCGCTGTCTGTGATAAACATTATCTTTTCTGTCGCTGAAAATGAAGAAATATCTATTATAATTCTTAAATCGACGCCCTTTGGGGCAATTAGTTATTTCGCCGTAATCAGCGACATGGATATTAACTTCAGATATAAGTACAAGGCTAAGTTCGTATATCTTGGCTGGCTGTTTAGGTCCCTATCATCACATTTCGTCAAAAACTACATGCGAGTTGAACACTATCTCTATCTGCATAGGCGGAGCCAGTTATCTTCAAAGGGGGTTGGGGGTGGTAGGGGGTTGGAGGGGTGTGTGTGTGTGTGTGTGGGTGCGTGTGCCAAAACCAGTTTTAAACAGCAATGTTTTTATATTCGTTACCCTAATTCTTATTTCAATCATCATTTTTTTTTGCATGGACCTAATATCAGGATGTACCTTCATTTACATTATCTCCAGGGAAAAGGTTCCTATAGAACCAGCCTATACTGTACCTGTAGTATATACATTCACTGTGTAAATAATACCACGGAGATAATTCTGGTGTGGCTGTCTCTATCACAGCAAATATATTGATATGCATACATATATATTCAGAGTGACAATAATAGGACTGTACAGTGTATTTGTTAACAAACAGTCACACCTGATTAACATAAGGAAGTTTGGATTAAATAGGTGAGTCATAATATTTCCATATCATAGATTCGCAGTGTAGGCTATGATAGGTGGGTTATGTGGCATTGTGATGTAGGTTTCGACTGGGTTCATGTTAGGCTTTATGAAGAAAGTTCAGTAATGTATGGGAAATACGACTTGTTTGTCTGGAGCTACGTCTTTGCGATTGAATATTTACAACAATTACATAGAGGTCCTTATTATATAACACTCCCTTGCTTTAACCTGAATTGTGTCATATTGTTACATTCCAAATTATGTGTTGTCTCCAACAAATATATGCCAGGAACCGATGGAAGGATGGACAGATCGGATGGCATAAATGCTGCGCCATGCTGGATGCAGGTGAACTAGACAAATTGGTCCTAAATATACCGTGACAGTGATTCCCGACACACAGAGCAATGTCGCATCTGTATCACTACCTCCTAGAAACGTGGGATGTGGGCAAAGCAGGTCAAGACGCGTCACATATTCACCTGACGAGCTTTGGGTACCGAGGAACCATGGTGCATGGAGTATCTACAAAGGTTCTACTGCTACTTACAACATAGCCCAGAGACATAAAAGTACTGAAGTACCAACTTACCATTATTAGATTCAGCGGCAGCGATCAGGAGTGCAAGGGCACACAAGACGAAGACAAGTGTAGTGTCCGCCATGATGTCACACCAGTATATCTACCCACACCAGTATATCTACCCACACCAGTATATCTACCCACACCAGTATATCTACACACCCCAGCCGGGAACACGGGTATTTCAACTCTGCTCAACTATTTGTGTACGAGGAAGTATATTACGCTTCAGCACAACTTGCTTTAGGTGACAGGGTGACAAAACCTGTCGGGTTGCCAGTAAGGCTATTAATGCATGTCATGCCTGTCACATCAGTAATGTATGCATGTGTCATTGTGAGGTTTGAACAGTATGCGATATAAGTCATATCAACTTGCACTGATGTGTGCAGTGTGTTGAGGAGAAAGGCAACCATGCCGACGTCTTCGCTTGGATGACGTCTGGCTGGTCTAGTAAGTGAAACAGAAGATTTTCTGGTTGCTGGTAAGGACCAGTCACTTTCTTCTCAATATGTGATTTATAATGTAAATATGAAATGTAGATGATGTAAAGATTTCCACGAGTCTGTCCAACAGTCAGAGGATTCCTAGCGTTGGCACGAAGACAAGTAGTTTAAGTGAGGTAATTGCATGCAACCGTCGTTTTATTACCGTCTTTGCAATGCTTGTGGTTCAACCATAATACGACCCAGAATATGTGGAGGGCCTCAAGGAAAATGACAACTGTAAAATTCTTTGGAATAAGCCCTTATACAGCCTCAGACGTATCCAAGCCAACAAAAGTGGCCTTGTCCTTTTTTATTAAACTAGTGAAATTCTGTATATGATTGAGTTTTCTGTCCCTTTTGAGACAAATGTGATTGACAAGATTCAGGAGAAGCATGTCAAATATGCGGACCTCGCTTACAATAAGTCACGTGCATCCGAAGAATTAAGTTGTTCGACTCACCATTGTTTTTGGTGCCCAGTACCTCTCAATATGCTGACTGACATTGGCTGAGAACCCGTGTTTACTGCCAGGACCACAGCCCTTCTGACACTCTGCAGGAATCTACACATTCTCCGGAAAGTTCTTGCTGGGTTCGAGAAGGCAGCGGTTCCTGGGAGATATATTTCACTGTCGGGGCTGCATGTAAAAGGGGCAAGAGCTCTGAGCTGAGTACGAACCTTACCTGTCTGCAGTGCCTCATTTTGTCCTTTTTGATAAGGCCACTGAATTTATTTTTTGTCATTTTCTGTCCCTTTTGTCAGCAATGTGATGACCAAGATTCATGAAAAGCATGATAAATATGCGCACCTCGCTTTTGAAATGTCTCGCTTGAATTCTAGTCGTCAGGCTGCTGAAAAACATAACAATTATCTGTAAAACATGAAATTTAGCATATTTTGGATTTTAACACGAAATAGGGTTACCGAAACACAATCGTGGAAAGGCAATAGCTACATGTGCAGCTGGAAATCTTGCAATAATGTTAGTACTGTTTCATGGACGAAACTCAGGACAGGGATGGAATACTGTTGCTTAGATACAAGTATTGCATGAGGAGGAGACAGGAATGCAAAATAGGTGTTCAAAATGGTGCCGGCATAGGTTAGACGAGTCTGTATGTGATAACGTCCAAGTATGCGATATTGATGCCTGTCTCACAGCCCTGGATCATGAAGTTTCCCAAGGATGAGCAACTGTGACATAGATATTTTTCTCAAAGTTTACAAACAGTTCTTGCAGTTTCTAATTACACAAAGAAGTAGAATCGATGTATTGCCCCTGTGTTTAGAAATTATTTTTATCCAAATTATGTCTTTTCAGTCTAGTCAGCAACAGAACAACTTTACACATGCGCTTTGTAAATGGTCCCGTCATAGGTCTGGTGACAATTCTATGCTTACAATCGCGTATACTTTCAAGTCTCAAATATGGTTAGTACCAATATTTCATAGCGTATTTTTTACTACTAACGACTAACAATGTGTGTAAATCGTTTATGTGTGTGTTTCGTTAAACATTGATTTGAGGCACAGTAAAGGACGTTATCCTACATGTGCTATGAAAAAGGACAATTTGGAAAAACGTTTAGCAGACGATCTGTGTGGAGTTGCTAAGTATGGTGACTGTAAAACATTTTGGAACAGTTTAAAAAGCTCTCTACGGAATAAAAACAAAGGATGTCCAATAACACCGGATACTCTACAGTTATATTTTAAGGATCTCTTAAACCCATCTAAACTTCAAACAGATGACGACTTTGATCAACATGTTTCTGATTTTATAACTAACCATTATTGTGATGAGTGTGTGAACTTCTCAGGTATAGATCAATTGTTGTCTGATAATATTTCTGAACTTGAAATCACTGAGGCTATTAGGAAACTGAAAACTGGTAAATCCCCTGGCGAAGATGGAATTCCTCCAGAATTTTTTAAGATTGGACAATCGACGTTACTTGCTTTCCTTAAGCCACTATTTAACTCAGTATTAGACTCTGGAATATTTCCAGATGCCTGGAACTCTGCACTAACCATACCTCTATTTAAGTCAGGTTGTGCAACCGACCCAAGCAACTACAGGGGTATATCACTCCTAAATGTTTCAGGGAAAATATTTACATCCATATTAGATAAACGCCTCCGTCTATGGATAGACTTGAATGGTATATTAACAGAAGCACAAGCTGGTTTCAGGATATGCTACTACAGATAATATATTTACCCTTCAGACTTTATGTTCCAAATATCTTTCTAAGCCTAAGGGGCGATTCTTCTGTGCTTTTATAGATTTTTAAAAGGCCTTCGACTATGTTGATAGAGCCAAACTTCTATATTTGTTACTTAAGTCAGGTTGCCATGATAAATTACACAATCTTCTTCATAATATGTATTCATCTGTAAAATCTTGTGTAAAGACTGGTAATTGTAAAACTGATATGTTCTCAACAAGTTCTGGAGTACGTCAAGGCTGCATTTTAAGCCCAATTCTGTTCATCTTTTTTTATAAATGAACTTGTTGCAGAAATATATAAATCCTGTAAACATGGTGTGTTTATATCTCAAGACATTGATGATATTATGATGTTACTTTTTGCTGATGATGTAAATATGTTTTCCTATATAGTTAATGGTTTACAGCAACAACTTAATGTTTTGCATAAATTTTGTATTACGTGGGGTTTGGGTGTTAATATTAAGAAAACTAATATTATTGTGTTTAGAAATGGAGGTGTGTTAAAAAAAGGATGAGGTATGGTATTATGGTAATACAAGGTTGAAATGTGTTTCGTATTATAAATATTTGGGTTTAATATTCTCATCCAGACTAAATTGGTCAACAGCCTGTAAACATTTATCTGTTCAAGCATCAAAGGCTATGCAATCTGTATATCAGTTATTCAAAAAGAATTCTTTTATTTCTTTCAAAACGGCCTGTACCATCTTTGATTGTAAGATTTTACCGATCCTTTTATATGGGTCCGAAATCTGGGGAACTAAATACTTTCATTGTATAGAAAAGGTTCATGCATCATATTTTAAATGCTTCCTAAATTTGGGAAAGTATGCTTCAAATAAGGCTGTATTAGGGGAAACTGGTCGTTGCAATATATTTGTACTCACCAGATTACGAGTAATAAAATTTTGGTTGATATTATTAAAAATGGATTCTTATAGGTACCCAAGGCAAAGTTATATGTTCCTAAAGCTACAAGATGATATTGGCAAGCTTAATTGGGCATCAGAGGTTAACTCAGTTACAGTTACTTTTTTCGACTGGATTTTCTCATGTGTGGATTTCACAAATGGTTGGAAATGAATGTAATTTTTTAAATGTTTTTAAGCAACGTCTTCAGGACATTTTCTTCCAAGAATGGTCTATGTCTATAAATAATTCAAGTTTCTTAGAACACTATTCTTCTCATAAATCTCTGTTAGAACCGGAGTTTTATATTATGAACCTACAAGACAAATCATTAATACGGGCGTTGTGTAAAATTTAGAATTGGCTTTCATGATTTTAGAATTCACTATTTACGCAAACCCAATAGAGCTTTCAGTGATGTAAATGAATCCATCTGTAAAAATTGTAATACAGGTAATATTGAAAGTGAATTTCATGTATTATTTGTGTGTACCAAGTATTTAGATTTAAGAAGTAAGTATTTATCATTTGTACAAACACCTGTAAGAGATGAACAAACATTGTCCAGTCTGTTAAATTCTAAAAATATTGATATTATCAAATCTATTGCAATTTATTTAAAACATGTCTTTAATGCAAGAAATGCCACCACAACCAACACGTGCATATAATTGTAGCAAGTGTATTTGTACTATAGGCCTTTAGGCCCGAAATACTGAATAAAAATGAATCTGCATCTGAATCTGAATCTGTTATCCTACATGCATTTACTATAGACTGGAAAGTCGGCCATGTTTGGTGCATGCAGAAACATGGGGTTGTGCACTATTTCAGAGATCAGACAGAACCGTACAAGACAATCAGCTTGTCACCTTCCTAATACTTAAGTGTTCAGGGGCCACTCTGGGAAGGGTTGTTAACAAGGCGTGAAAACTGAGGGGCCACAGTGTTTTGTTTCCTCAGTGAGTCAGTATGGTTGCTGTACAATTCATTGGTATTGGTACACACGTCTTTGTGTTATCTCTGACTGAGACTGAGTGAAAACGCCGTGTACCTGATGTGTAATATACTCCACTGATGGTGTCATGGCGCGGATAACGTTGCTTAATTCTGGTTCAGTTGATTCAGTAGGTAGACTGAACTGAGCAAGTAAATGTTACACATATTTTATTTAGTCCAGGTCCTGGACATGTTTTGGTCTACCCAGACGCTAGATGTATACCTAGCTTGACATTTTTCAAACCAGATTAATATATACGTACACCCAAAAATGGACAAATATATTAGCACATAGCACTAGACTTGAATACTATGGACGTTTAAAGATTGGCATTGAAGCAGGGAAATATGTGTACATTTGCAAACGACCTTGCTCGTGCTCAAGGATGTACAAGGCTAAATATTGATACATTGAGACCTCATAAACTTGCAAAGTCTGTAATAGTATGTACAGGTAAGTTAAACAATTTCGAAGATCTGTACCATTTCACTCTTATATGTCTATCTTTAAATAACGTTCGACAGCAATACATACCAAATGAACATTTAATTTAACCTTCAGCACAACAATGCATGTGCCCATGGCAACCACAAATTATCAAGATTTATGATTTGTTATGTTATGCTTCAAATGTGCCTTTAAGAGCAGAAATGAAATGCTAACCTTTTGTGAAAATATTGACGCATATGCATTTCATGTATATGAGCCTATGGCCTTTGATACGATAAACTTTCGATGACAAGGCGATGATCGGTTGTTAGACTGATAGCGCGTTATCGTGTTCCTATCCCCGGTTTATCTGGTCTGGATTTACTGACTGAAATGCTAAAATTAACTCACTCACTCACTGTTCCCCTTGGCAGTATTAGTTGGTTATTGTGCGTATTTGCCTCTACTTCTTTAACACAGATACAACTCGATTGGGGTTTAGGATGAAGATTTACGGAAATAGGGGATGCAAAATTTTACAATATAGAAACAACTAAAATATTCGAGATTACAGTGCAGATCATTGGTGCAATACGTTTCAGAATACCATCTTTTGGTTTCGGAAAGAGATGCGACAGTCTTTTGGTGACAGACAAAAACATAATAGGAGTGGAGAGAGAAGGAATGCTACACCTGTAAGAGATGGTATAAAGCTACTACAGCCTGGTGCCATCTGCGGCAGGAATAAAGTTGTATCGGATATTGAGATGGACAGAGGTCGGGGTGCTAGTGTCTCTGAAACTGAGAAGGAAAGAGATCGGGGTGCTGGTGTCTCCAATACTGAGAAGGAAAGAGATCAGGGTGCTGGTGTCTCTGAAACTGAGAAGGAAAGAGATCGGGATGCTGGTATCTCCGAAACTGAGGAGGGAAGAGGTCAGGGTGCTGGTGTTTCCGAACCTGGGTGCTGGTGTCTGGTGGGAAACTGAAAAGGAAAGAAGTCGGGGTGCTGGTGTCTCCGAAACTGAGCAGGAAAGTGGTCAGGATGCTGGTGTCTCGAAAACTGTGGACAGAGGTCGGGGTGCTGGTGTCTCGGAAACTGAGGTGGAAAGAGGTCGGGGTGCTGGTGTCTCCGAAACTGAGGAGGAAAGAGGTCGGGGTGCTGGTGTCTCCGATACTGAGAAGGAAAGAGGTCGGGGTGCTGGTGTCTCCGAACCTGAGAAGGAAAGTGGTCAGGATGCTGGTGTCTCGAAAACTGTGGACAGAGGTCGGGGTGCTGGTGTCTCTGAAACTGAGAAGGAAAGACGTCGGCGTGCTGGTGTCGTGGAGACTGAGGTGGACAGAGGTCGGGGTGCTTGTTCAGCTGGTAAAAGGAAAATATACAAGGCTTTTGGAGAGGAGGAGGGAGAATGTTTTGGTTGTGGAAGAAAATGGAGGAGAGATCAAAATACTATTGGAGGTGGAGATAGAGGAGACATTGATGAGGAAATTGGAGGAGAAGACGTTGTTGATGGCAAGCAGGGAGGAAGGTGGAAGGGATTTCAGTATATGACTGGAGATGGCGAAAGATCTGTTCTTCGTGGAGGAAGAGAAAGACGAGACAAAGATCTCACTGTTGATGGAAAATGGGGGAGAATATGAGAGGTTTGGATCAATATTGGGAGAGAGATAGAGTACATCCTTGGAGGTGGAGGAGGCGCTGTTGTCGGTGGAGGAAGAGAAAGAGGGTTCAGAGATGGCTCTGTTGGTGAAAAACAGGGAGAATATGGTGATGGCGGTGGTAAAATATGGAAGAAATACCATTACAACACTGAAGGAATTGATACAGGAAACGATGACGTTTGCGGAGCAATAGAGGTGGTACTCGGAGATGGTGCTGTGTTGGGAATGCAGGGAGAATGTGATAGCAGTGAAGACGAAAGGAGAGGAGATCGTTGTACTGGAGGAAGAGAAGGAGATGGCACTGTCAAAACAGCGCAGCCACAATACGTTGATGGTGGCAGAATTCGGACAGGAGATTACATCAAAAGAGAGAGAATTACGAAAAGACAGGACAGCGAAAGAGGACAAAGACTGAGCGTAGATGATGGCGACAGACACAGAACAGATGCTGTTGATGGAGATGGACAGAACCTGATGGTGGACATCGTTGCAGATGTTACCAATGTGCAGAACGGCCATTCCAACATTATAGTACATCAAATACATGTCAAGCATCTGATTGGTATGTATTTTCGTTATGATTTACTGTGTGCGATAACTGTAGATCCATTCTCTTTATATGATACATGACATTAGCGCGACAACAGATGTTCAGAGTGTTAATATTTTATAATGTTGACGGAAATAACCTGTTGAATAGAATATCTGTTCATCTAGACCTATATATTTCAGATAGCACATATGTTTTTCTCCTTTTGATATTCAAAAAATGCGTTTCGCTAATATTGACTTAACAATTTTGAAATTGTGTAAATCTGCTTGTTTGAATCTCTGGATGTTTCTTTACTCAACGTCTCCCATGAATGACATTGTGTTGATGGAAAGGGTCATACATGGTAGAATTGTAATTACTCAGAATTAGGTTTGAATGCAATTACAAACAAAGCCAGGGGATTTAGATAGCCTAAAGGTCCTCTGTTGATAATTATTTCAGTAATGCCAAGACGTGTTGGAAGAAGAAGGAAGCTTCGGCCAAGGTCACGGAAGGTAGCCAAAAGATGTACGCAGACTGTTGGTGAGGTGGCCAAGGTCACGCGACATACACAGACGGTTGGTGAGGTGGCCAATTTCACGCGACATACACAGACTGTTGGTGAGGTGGCCAAGGTCACACGACGTACACAGACTCTTGGTGAGGTGGCCAAGGTCACGCGACATACACAGACTGTTGGTGAGGTGGCCAAGGTCACGCGACATTCACAGACTGTTGGTGAGGTGGCCAAGGTCACGCGACATACACAGACTGTTGGTGAGGTGGCCAAGGTCACGCGACATACACAGACTCTTGGTGAGGTGGCCAAGGTCACGCGACATACACAGACTCTTGGTGAGGTGGCCAAGGTTACACGTCAAACCAAGTCTGTGAGGCGCTACTTGAGGCCACACGGCCAGGATCAGAAGGTCAAAATAAATCTCACGATTTGGTTCCACGTTTTAGTTCAAATCGAGATCCTGGTGGTCCTGATCGTGATGATGTTCATGCAGCATTAATTCAATCCTAACGTTTGCTGCATATAAAGGCGTGCGCAGGAGGGTGTATAACAATTCAAGAGTGTGTTATATGCCGGAAATGTGTAAAACAGTTGTTTCACTTGAAATAGGTATACGACACGTTGATTTTGCAAGTAATATTATAAAAATAGAATTCAGATTGAATTCATACCTTCCGAAAAAATATTTATGAGATTTATGTTCAACTAAGTGATCTACCTATTTGTAAACCACATTTTCAAGTTCAACATTTTGCCTGGATATCTTCCAATGAAATGTTAAACTTGCAAATATAGTTTACAAATACGTTAGATCACTCAGTTAAACATGAATCTCGGAAATATTTTTTCAGAAGGACAGAATTCACTCTAAATTCTATTTTTATAATATTAAACAAAATCAATGTGTCCTATTTCAACTGAAACAACTGTCACACGTTCCCGGCATCAATTCTGCGCATGCCGGGGTGGGGACGAGGGAGTGGGTGGGAGTGGGTTGGGTGGGCTTTTGTGGGTCAGGGAGGGTGGGTTAACATATTCCTGTATGGAATACAAGTGTAAGCCGCATCGGCTACATCACTGCGTGTGCAGTACATTGTATGCCTGTTGTTAAATAACACATTATTTACAACGGAACAGATTCCGTATCCTCAAAGAGGAATTTTGTAGATACTTCTAGATGTTTAGCAAGTATTTGTCATGCCAATTTTAAGCATGTACTGTTATCAGCTTGTCAACGAACTGCATAGTGTAACCCTTTATACTGTGTACCTCACAATAAAACAGTCGAAAAGAAAGCCTTTCTGTGTATTATATGTGTATGATAATATTTAGATGTGTATTTAAGGATCTCTCCTTATGATGAACGGAGTAATGCACAACAAAGTCTGGATTCTGTTTCCGTGGCGAATAGATGCCGTCATTTGGAATCTAAAACGTCATAACAGAATTTGACAAACATGGCGGCATATCAGCTTCACGTGTCAGCTGCCATTTAGTCACTGTCGTTTGCCTGTTTTAGTGAACCTCGTGACCACATGCATGGTGGCGACAAATTAACCAATGATGATAATCGAATCAGGGTTCGAACTACCAGTATGGACCAGATGTTCCCAACTGTTTCCCCTAAATACACGCGTCATTATCCCACGATGACCTGGGTGGCCTCGCCAAGCCGATTCATTCAAGGTGTGGCAGTCATCACTTTGACGTCTTGTCAACGCATATATAATCCGATATAACATGTCAATAGCTCTGTATGAATGTTTAATGTATATTTAGTATAGTATTGTGACTTCCATAGGTTTCTATAGAGCATGCTAATGGTTACCGTTGAGACGTCAGATTGAGAGCTACTCCACAGTTCAGTACAAGATGTCCTGCCTCTGTGACACATGCCTCGGCCTGCTACCAGTGGACGCCAACGGTGAAGATGGCCAGGCTTTATTTACCTGTGTGTACTGTAAGAGGAGATTAAAATACACGTACCACCATTTTCTAACACATACCGACATGTGAGCCGTGAAGAAGAAAGTGTGTTTCCAGAATCCCTCCTGTGCATGTCACAGGAAAGTGCAAGAATAAAACCCCACGCTATGTTTGGGCGACTGACAGTTTCACTCATGCCACATGACGGATAAGACGTCCTCTTTCAACATAAAGAGAGCTCCTGATGATATACCTCGAGACATTTTAGCCAAGTTTAACAAGACCAAGTCAAGTCGAGAAAACCACCCTTGAAGAAAACAACGGCAACAAACAGGAAGCCGCAGAAGAAGAGACAGGTTGCACCTAAGAATAAGAAGAGACAGGTTGCACCTAAGAATAAGAAGAGACAGGTTGCACCTAAGAATAAGAGATGAGGTGAGGTGAAATTGGGTTTAACGTCGTGCTTGAGAATATTTCGCTCATATGACGACGTGCATGCGTGTGTATGTGTATGTGCAGTTGCTTGTACTAGCCCAGGCTTAAGCTGGTTTTATAGTGCTAGCCCACTGAGATACCACGCCGCAGTGAAGCATGAATACCCCACTTAGACACATTATACTGACTCCGAGCCGACCAGTCCTTGTTACACCCATTAATGCCGAGCGCCAGGCAGATACCAACAAGTACCATATTTTAACGTCTTTTGGTATGACGCTGCTGGGGATCGAACCCGCGCTAAGAATAAGAGACAGGTTGCACCTAAGAAGAAGAAGAGACTGGTTGCACTTAAGAAGAAGAGACAGGTTGCATCTAAGAAGAAGAAGAGACAGGTTGCACCTAAGAAGAAGAAGAAGAGACAGGCTGCACCTAAGAAGGAGAAGAAGAAGAAGAAGAGACAGGTTGCACCTTAGAAGAAGAGACAGGTTGCACCTAAGAAGAAGAGACAGGCTGCATCTAAGAAGAAGAAGAGACAGGTTGCACCTAAGAAGAAGAAGAAGAAGAGACAGGTTGCACCTAGGAAGGAGAAGAAGAAGAAGAGACAGGTTGCACCTTAGAAGAAGAAGAGACTGGTTGCACCTAAGAAGAAGAGACAGGCTGCATCTAAGAAGAAGAGACAGGTTGCACCTAAGAAGAAGAAGAAGAGGCAGCTTGCACCTAGGAAGGAGAAGAAGAAGAAGAGACAGGTTGCACCTTAGAAGAAGAGACAGGTTGCACCTAAGAAGAAGAGACAGGCTGCATCTAAGAAGAAGAAGAGACAGGTTGCACCTAAGAAGAAGAAGAAGAAGAAGAGACAGGTTGCACCTAGGAAGGAGAAGAAGAAGAAGAGACAGGTTGCACCTTAGAAGAAGAAGAGACTGGTTGCACCTAAGAAGAAGAGACAGGTTGCATCTAAGAAGAAGAAGGGACAGGTTGCACCTAAGAAGAAGAAGAGACAGGTTGCACCTTATAAGAAGAGAGACAGGTTGCAGCTTAGAAGAAGGACCAAAAGACTGTACTGAATATACAGCCTGTGAAAATACAACATGTGTCAGAGAAGAGGGCTGTGGTGGAACGGGCACTAGCTGTCTTGAAGCGTCAACAAGCAGCCTTAAACCATCACATGGGTGAAGGGTATAAAAGAAAGCTTCAGACCTTCTAATTGCATACCGTATTGGATCACCATGGGGGATGCCACCTGTGAGAAAATATTTTCAAGGAGAGATGTCATGTTACGACACAGAAGAAATAAACATAACCTAAAGACATCTCAGTTACACCCTTCTCCACCGCCGCCACAAGTCCAGCCACCACCGCCGCAAGTCCACCCGCCGTTACAAGTATACCCACTATCTCCGCCGCCGCAAGTCCACCTGCCGTTACAAGTCCACCCACTATCTCCGCCGCCGCAAGTCCACCTGCCGTTACAAGTCAACCCACTATCTCCGCCGCGGCAAGTCCACTCGTCGCTGCCTCATTTACCCAGTACGTCGGATGTTCGAGAACGATTCAAATTCCTGATTCCCTCCAATGTGCTCGTGGTGGGAACCAGTGGCTGTGGAAAGTCAGTGTTTACCTTTCATCTGCTACGACATGGCCATTATATCAACACATCCGCGAACAGCTGCCTCATGTGACGTTTGTGAAAGGAATTCCCTACGATATATTGGACGAGGATTACTTTGATGCTCGTCAACGGAACGTTTTGGTGTTGGATGATTTCCTGGCCGAAGCAAAGTATCACAAGCGTATTTCACGGCTGTTCACTCAAACCTCCCATCACAAAACTGTACTGATCTTTCTTCTGCTACAAAACGTGTTTCAGAGAGACATTGCTTTGAACGCTCATTATGTCAGCTTATTTCATTCGCCCATAGATAAACATCAAATCAAAGTTTTTGCCTGGAGAACTTTCCCCCAAAACATGGATCACTTTATGGCCATGTATGAAAAAGCCGCCGAAAAACCCTTTGGACAACTCACCATCCATCTGAAACCTAGCACGAAAGACAAGGATCGACTGCATGTCAACCTCATAAATGATGACAACGGGAGATCAACAGCACAGTCCGAACCCGACCTGCTGACGGACCAGTTCGCCACGAAAATCGTGGGTTTTAGTAAATTTCTCCAAATATATTTTGAGATGATCCCCACGATTGTAAGTTTCACTAAGTTGTCATAGAACTGTACTTGATGTATTGAGACATTGGATATATAGGAAACACAAGCAAACTCTTCTAATGGGAATCGTTATAGTTTTGTGTTGCATGTAGCTGAAGAAAGTTTTGTAGACGTGTGTTTTATTCCAACAACGTCATACATTCATTAGTTGTCTTGGGATATAAACCTACATGAACATTCATTCATTCATACTTCGCCACTATTCATTGAAATATACCGGTTACATTTATGACAGATAACACATACGCAACAAATATAGGTTCCACAAGGTGAAAACCCACGACCTCTCTGATTTAACCACCTTCAAAATATAAAAATGTACAATACATCCACTCTTACCTATAATGTAATACATACGGTAAACGTATCGCTTCACTGCATGGTTAAACAAACCTGTGTGTCGCGAATAGAACTCGAAGTTAATGTTGTGTCGCTGGTTGTTGAGGATGGAATGTCTCTCTGTTTTATTTAGGGGTGGTGTTCTTGGGGGTGTTTCTCGCGGAGATACGATTGTACATTCAACAGCCCCCAAACCGTGTTGACTCAAGCCCGTCCGCTCGTGTGGCATTTAAGTACTTTCAACACGCACGCACGCGCGCGAACACGAGACATACCCTTTACTCACACTTTGGAGTAGATAGCTGGGAGTAATTTGGTCCGTGGTCACACGTTAAAATAATGCAGAAGCTGAGGTCGCTAGCTGAAATAGGTAGATTTTGTTTGCCATCGCACCGCTAGACAAGGGATGTATGTGTTACGATTCATCTATATACGCCACTAAGTGGCAAAGGAACAAGCACGCTCTTGTGATAAAGAGAGCTTATCAGGGACCCTGAATTTCCAAAAATAGCTGTTACGGTTAATAATTTGCCGTGACAAAAGGTTTAAGAGTCCCCTTTGAACCAGCAAAATACAACAAAGACAAGTCTAAAATTTTCAATAATATATTGAACAGACAATGAGCAAGCTACAAAGAATGACAATACAGATTTCTAGTACAATTCAATTGTGTCACAAATCTAAAATATTGGGTCACAAATATAAAATATTCACGGTGAGGACAGATATACTGATTGAAGGTTGTTTAATTATCACTTAATCAATGTGTTATTACAAATTACAAAACACACACTCTCATAACATAGTATTATATTCTTTAATATATTGAAGAGAAATAAGGAAGGAACTTTCAGTGTGGTTCTGGAGGCTTTCTGCCCTGCAAATGATTCACAATTAAACAAAAATCTGCTTCGTATACTGCGGCTTTGCTATGACGTCATGCATTCATGTGCATATTCCTGAGTTGTCATGCCTTGTTACGATCACGTGACTTGGATGAGCCAATCAACGTCTGATCCGGGTTGGTCCGGCAAAAGGAAGATTGGAGGACAGCTTATCAGGGTCTGAAGATACATTTGCATATCCATGATTTTTTCTTACCACAGTGTCTGTCGTCATAGCTACGATCCATTAACCTCGCCGACCTATGACATACGGCATTTTATTTGCATATATATTATGGCCTGTGACTATATATAGCATTCATTTGCATATTCATGAGTTTTCTTAACTTGTCGTCGTCGTCATAGCTATGATACGTTCACCACCTCGCTGACCTATGACGTCCGGCATTCACTTTGCATATTCATGAGTTTTTCATGCCTTCACTAAGGTCACGTGATTTGGATGAGCCAATCAACATATAGCTACGATTCATTAACCTCGCCGACCCATGACATCATGCATTCATTTGTATTTTAAGGAGTTTCATGCATATTAATGACCCATGTGTTAAATCAACACCGATCTACAGCAATCTACACCGATCTGCATTATTTATTGACTGTCACTAGTCATGTTTTTAAAGTATGAATGGATGGTTGACAGTGTCACATGAGGTGTAATAATATCTCCTTGTTGAATTACTGGCCCCTACCAAGCTTGAGGCTGATAGCATCACGTGACATTATACAAGCCTGCACGGTATAATGCACACCTCGGAATGCACCTAGCTGATTGGTTAACAATGACGTAGCTATTGCAAACAGGACTGTATATAAGAGCTGACAGTCACTCTTATTGCGTGTTAACACGGGGTTTACAGCTAAGGTTGTTTCGACCAGGCTCTGTGGTAGGCAGGACAGGTAAGTGTCACTTTCTTCACTTTACTTTCCTAGCTTGTCCAAGACGGAATTCCGTCATGAAAGTTACCTACAAGTGTTTCAATACTTCAGTTATATTATTATAGTATAGTATATTTATATAGCGCATATATCCACACCAACTGGTGCATGCTCAAGGCGCTGGTATTTTTCCCTCGATCATTGGATGTCAATCTCAACGGCACATCGTATTATCAATCTCATCTCCCTGGGGAGTATACAACTCTTGCTGCCACTAGGCGCACCGAGTTAATGTGGCTCTCTCATCTTGATGTGGCCATCATCTGGTCATATACCAACGGATTCGTGGGTTCTTTAAAGTGCACAGGGTTGTGTACTGTACACTAGGGGTTGTGACAACACGGAAAGAGTCTGCACACAAAGTTGACTCAAGGTTTTACACCCGGTCACAGGTGGGCTCGATCCGGCACCTCAACCTCGCTGGATCACTAGCCTGGCGCCTTAGCCAGCTCGCCCACCGCCCACCTTACCACTATAACAAAGGCAATTGTCAGTGATTCACTATCAAATTGGGGGCGGTGGGGTAACCTGTTGGTTAAAGCGTTCACGCCGAAGACCCGGGTTCGACTCCCCACCCGGGTTCGAGTACAATGTGTGAAGCCCATTTCTTGTGTACCCCGCCGTGATATTGCTGGAATACTGCTAAAAGCGGCGTCAAACTAAACTCACTCACTATCAAACTGTGTTGGCATATGGCGTTTTCCAGCGTATCCTGGCACTCGTCACAAACACATGCGAAGACACGGCAACTCTCATACACCCTCGTATACATACACATATAGCATTACGGCATAACTCAAATCAATATGTTACTATAGATTGACCCACTTCCAATGCTGCAGCAAACAGCTGATGAAGTGAACTCATGACTGTCCTGGTTGCTGCCTTTTTAACATGTAAATTATACAGGTCAAATTACGTGTGTACGTTTGTATTCAAGGTAAATACACGTATGTACGTAGATTTCTAGAATTTAAGAGTGACTTACTTCAATCAGAGTATTGGATGTCCTTCGCAAGACCCCTCTGGCTCTGGTATGCAATATAAGTTACTAGTCTATGAAATCGTTTTAGGATTTGTCGTTTGTAAAGCTGATATAATTCTTTCTACATTTCATCACAGAGACAACGGCGAGTGGCGACATACGAACCAGGGATCTGTTCAAAATCCGGGGCAATGTCTGAAGCTAGGGGGGCGTGCTACGTCATACCGTCTGGCTTCGAGCCAAACAAACAATTAGAGTACAGTTCTCAGCATATGAACGCCCAAAATACATGCCTATCACAGTCAAAGAAAGGTAGAAAAGGAAAGTTGAAACATGCCAACCAGTCTTTACAATCTGACCAAAAGCCAGACAGCTGTAAGAAGCGTCTCTGTAATCGTCCTCAAATCGATATACGGCGCATTGTACAAATCGGGCACAATAGAAACACCATTTCCTTTATTCAAAAGAAAGACTCCAATGCTAGCGTTAGCAATACAACTATTGTACAACTCGGGGACAACAACATTGTATATGTATACTTAGGTGACAAACTCCCCATGAACATACTGCTAGGAGACACGGTCGTCGTGTACGTCCCCCCTGGGTGTGACGGCAGGCCCCGGGTGTTTGTCTGCGAACAGAGAGGACCTGACAACCAGATTGTCACCCACTGTCGCCACAAGTCGCCACGGATCTTTGAACGACAGACATTTGACAACTTCCGGTCACGACACTGTCACGTGATCAGATCTGTCCTGCTGCCAGCTGCTTCCGGCTCCAGTAAGAAAGGTAAGTGTTGCTATGGGCGGAGGGCACTTTGGGTCTGGCATTGTCAGTTATGTTACACTGTTAGTAAAGTAAAAAAACAAATTAACAAGGCTAATGGCCCAAGTACAGTGTAGATACGTATCATATACGAAGTGGTGGCACAATAACAAGATATTGTGTAGTGTTGCCATGGACGGATGACATCTTAGAACTATATCGCACACAACAGTACCGTATGTGTCTAGCATAAAACGTTTTGCATGGGTTCCCCGAACCAAGAACATGATAATAAAGATATAGAAGTTTGTAGTAATGTTCTGAGAGAGTGTACATTTTTTTTTTTTAAATGGTATTTGAAAAATATTTGTGTGTGAAAACATCATACATAGGGCACACTAACATAAAATGTAACTCGTCTTTATAATGTATTTTCTAAAAGGATAACATGTAATGTTTCAAACAATACCCTCCGGCGAGCCAAGCTTTTGTTTTCCTAGCTTGAAATTCTCAAATTCTTAATAATGATGAGTATTTTGTTTGGTCACTTTAAAATAAGACTTAATACTTTTAGTAAAATTTCAATCATGTCACAATACGTTATCACTGAGTCTGCTACTAGCCGGGCTGTGGTATCATTTGCATTTTAATTACTGTAACAATGTCATGATCATGATACACAATACAATAACAGTAACCGAATTGCAACACTATTACAACATTGTATTAATAATGCTATTTAAGTGTTTGGGACCCCCATTTTGTAGTCCAGGACCCCTGAAAATTCAGAGTATGAGTCCAAGGGACCTTCAAAGAAAATCCTTGTCATGGTAATCCAAAACTAGGAATTGATGCTCAGATGATCGACCATTGATTTAATCCAGTTTCATCCCTACACACTCACCCACTAACACTCACTCACTCACTCACTCACTCACTCACTCACTCAAGAAGAGTAAAATATATGAACAATTAACCAACATAATAGACATTGGAGTAGACATTGAGTTTTTTCGAAACGTGTATAAATATGTTCCATCTTGTCAGCTGCGGGCCGTCATAAGCCGTTGACTCCCGGGGACTGCGATGTCGTGACCATCAAGCATGGTGGCTCTCATCGGACTCACACAAGAAGAAGAGTGAAACCTCATAGCAGGAAGTACCCGCTTCTTCATCCCATCGGGGTCAAGGGCACCAGAAAACTGTGAACCCTGTGTGCCTGAGAAGAGGAATCTCTTGAACGTTTTGGCTCTCATCTATTTATAGATATATTCTCAGGCAGTTTCGAAATGGACGCATATTCCAGTTAGGGATACCTTGTAAGCCATATTGGCTCAAGTCTAAGACATTTGTACATTCCCTAGCCATAACTTTCAATGTTAGTATAAATATATTGCACATTTATATTAGCATATGTTATGTACCCATGTAAGCCATATTGGCTATACCAATAATAACTGTAAGTATATTATACATAACACCTTGCAATGTTAGCATATATTGTACTGCCACCTTGTATAACATATACACATGTATATTTATCATATACCATGTGTTCCTGTAAGCCATATTGGCTATATCAATAACAACTGTAAGTATACTATACATAACTTGCAATGTTAGTATATATTGTACTGCCACCTTATATAACGTATACACATGTATATTTATCATATACACTGTGATCCTGTAAACCATATTGGTTGTATCAATGTCAGCTGTAAGTTTATTATTCACAACTTGCAATGCTAGTATATGTATTGTACGTCTAGATGGCATACATACATATCCTGTATATACTATGTTCCCTTGTAAGCCATAATGGCTGCAAATAGTCTTATATACAATCTTATGAAAACACACACATTTCAATGCTTAATATTGCACAATACCACTGTAGTGTGTTACATCGGTAAGGCACTGATCTGGATGTTAACGTGTGTCACTGTAATTTAGTCGTATCGTGAGACAAAAACCTGTAAAATCATTATGATATACAGTTTACCTCTGTCAGATTGAAAGCCTTGTTGTACCTCTGTCAGATTGAAAGCCTCGTTGTACCTATGTCAGATTGAAAGCCTCGTTGTACCTCTGTCAGATTGAAAGCCTCGTTGTACCTCTGTCAGATTGAAAGCCTCGTTGTACCTGTCAGATTGAAAGCCTCGTTGTACCACTGTCAGATTGAAAGCCTCGTTGTACCTCTGTCAGATTGAATGCCTTGTTGTACCTCTGTCAGATTGAAAGCCTCGTTGTACCTCTGTCAGATTGAAAGCCTCGTTGTACCTGTCAGATTGAAAGCCTCGTTGTACCTCTGTCAGATTGAAAGCCTCGTCGTACCTGTCAGATTGAAAGCCTCGTTGTACCACTGTCAGATTGAAAGCCTCGTTGTACCTCTGTCAGATTGAAAGCCTTGTTGTACCTGTCAGATTGAAAGCCTCGTTGTACCTGTCAGATTGAAAGCCTCGTTTTACCTCTGTCAGATTGAAAGCCTCGTCGTACCTGTCAGATTGAAAGCCTCGTTGTACCACTGTCAGATTGAAAGCCTCGTTGTACCTCTGTCAGATTGAAAGCCTTGTTGTACCACTGTCAGATTGAAAGCCTCGTCGTACCCTGTCAGATTGAAAGCCTCGTTGTACCTCTGTCAGATTGAAAGCCTCGTTGTACCTATGTCAGATTGAAAGCCTCGTTGTACCTCTGTCAGATTGAAAGCCTCGTTGTACCACTGTCAGATTGAAAGCCTCGTCGTACCTGTCAGATTGAAAGCCTCGTTGTACCTCTGTCAGATTGAAAGCCTCGTTGTACCTCTGTCACATTGAAAGCCTCGTTGTACCTATGTCAGATTGAAAGCCTCGTTGTACCACTGTCAGATTGAAAGCCTCGTTGTACCACGGTCAGATTGAAAGCCTCGTTGTACCGCTGTCAGATTGAAATCTATGTCACAAAGAGAGCATGTGTGTCACCATTTGCACATGTGGCACACATTTAGACATTGTGTACATGAATAAAATGTCTAATGAATCTATATCATTGTTATTCTATTATTTAAAACTATCTGTATTGAGACATATAGGTCCAAGTCCTTTCAAACAAACATCTTGACATTGTACCTATATTGCAACCACACAGTAGAACATCGCATTGGTACATCTTGGGTATATATAACTAACGATGCTGCTAAAACCTTTGTATTTGATCGATATATCACTGGATATATCTCATATATCACACATGATGCAAGCTAAAAGTACTCATGGACCGATAAAAACGATTGTCTGAAGTATCCAAGAAAACTCCATCACAGCTGTGTTAGAGACTGATGTCCGGGAAACCATTTCGTTGGTTTTTGGCTCGTCACACTGCACTCAGCAATATTCCAGCTATATGGTGGCGGTCTGTACATTATCGAGTCTGGGCCTGACAATATCGTGAGCATCATCATGAGCATCGATCTACGCAATTGGGATACGATGACATGTGTCAACCAAGTCAGCGAGTCTGACCACCCGATCCCGTTAGTCGCCTCTTACGACAAGCATGGGTTACTGAAGACCAGTTCTAACCCGGACCTTCACTGGTTCGGGTAATGAATAATCCTGCAGAGTGAAACACAAAGGGATTTTTTTTTATCTACATCAGAGCATATGCTATATAAGAAGCATTATCTGATGCCATCTGATACCAAAACAACAATGGTATTTTTGGAATCATCAGTACTCATCAACGACCAAATTAATAACCCAACATAACTGTTAACTCTTTAAACAAAGTCACAGCCAACTAAAAAACATTATGCAAACTTGCTGCATGACTGGAAGAAATAGAATCGTGGCGAGAGCATTCGGTGTGTCTACACTTTGGTAAGTGAACCTGTGGCATGGTACGTCACGTGACCGACCTAAATCAGACTGGTCCCGCGTCACAACGTCATCCTGCGACAACCCTATCTCCACCATGGCTACACAGCTGAATCATCGACTACAGCAGATTCTGGGATTGCCAAAGACATCAAACCAGACATTGGTGAACCACCTTTGAGAGGTTGGGGTCAGAGCCAGACCTGCTGGAACACGTGTACCGTTGTTCAGGGTACATCTTTACCCTATAAGGCTCTTTTCAGTAGAACTTGTCAACGGGTTGTTTTGAGAACGTAATGACGAGAATTATGTGTTTCTTTCAGTTTCATTCAGCTTGATCTTAAAAGGGTTTGTAATTGCAATTTTCATACGAACGACCTGTAAATAACAAAGCATGATGCATGTTATGTTTCATATATTTTAGGGCGGAACAAATATTTTAAAATATTAAATTTCATACAATCATGTCTTGTATTGCCTTCGTTAGTTGAATATATTCCGTAATATTTCAGTTAATCCCCAAGTTAATGTACAGAAGTGTAGACGACTACCACCTAACTGAACCTGCTGCTGAATCACGACGAATCATAATCAGTTCCAATCAGGGATTCCAACCCATGGCAAGACGCCCAAATCCAAGCCCAATTTAATACAACAAGGCACCTATCCTCATCGCACTACTAAGTCGGTGGTGTAACAATAAATGTTATTGTGTCAATGTGTTCTTTCTTCAAAGACTCCATGGTGTCGGTCGGTTCCACCTGGCCTTTCTTAGCCTGACTGCAGCACACCACACTTCCAAATATAATCAGTCCAAGGAGCACCGTGCTCCCGAACCCGCCAACCGCCACCAGGAACCCGCTGCCTAGAACGTCAGCTGACTCCACCGGAGTTGCAGTTGTAGTCGTTGACTTAGTTGTGGGAATTTGAACATGAACGCGGAATGTTTTCTCGTCCTTTCCTTTATCGTTGACAGCCTGAACTGGCCATAACCCGTCATGAGAAGCATCAGCAGTCAAAACCGTGCTGACATCCCTTGTTGTCGTATACCGGGGGTCGAAGATGGAGACACTTGAAGCTGAGATTATGGTCCCGTCGGGTCTCATCCAGGTCACATTCGGAAACAGATCACCCTCAATCTGACATGAAATGTGTAGCAGATCTCCCTGTTTCACGGTATAGAGATCCCCGCACTTTAGAATTTTGGGGGGAATACAAGTGAAGTCCTTATCTTCTGCATGGTAAATCGTATGGTATTTCAGTACACTTGGAGCAGAGCATACCGGAACATTGCCCGAATACACGGAGTACATCACGCTCTGGTTGAGGTTCTTCAGCCACTGAATGTCGCATGTGCATCTCCAGGGGTTGTCTGAAAGATGGATGATCTGCAGCTTCTGGAAGATCAGCTGGAATAGTTGCTAATTAATTGTCGGACAGGTCTAGAGTCTTAAGGTTTGTCAAATGTTGAAATAATTGCACAGATACCTTTTCAAAATTGTTTCCATGGAGATCAAGGTTTCTGAGATTTGTCAACCCAGTGAACATGGCACTGGAAACACGTCCAAGGTTAAGGTCACCCAGAAATAGATCTTGCAGGTTCTTCAAGGAAGCAAATGCGTCATCGGCGATCTTACATCCCGTGTTTCCAGTCAGATCCACGAAGACAACATCATTTAAGCCATGGAAGATGCCACTGTTTATCTGGGAGATCTTATTATGTTTCAGGGCAATACGTTTTAGTTTAGTCAATCCTTGAAACAAGTCATCGTCTAACTTTGTCACCTCACTGTAAGTAACGTAGAAATCTTCAAGATTCGAGAACGCTGACAAAGCTGAGTGTTTCAATGTTGATAGAGAGTTTCTGTTATTAAAGGAGCCAAGCAGATTGATGCTGATGGTGTTTGCAGGTAGACCTAGCGGAAATGACGTCATCTTTGGCTGACACGTCACATAACCTGAAACAGCACAGATACAGTTGCTGGGGCAGGTTTGTGACGTCATATATCCGAAGACACAGACCAGTAGGAACGCCAGAGAAGACAAACGTTTGACGTAGTAGTTGACCATGATGAACGTATTTGGACTCAAGACACTGCCATGATGTCGTCATTGGGAATATCGAGAGTGTTCTACAATGACAGAATAGTCAATACAACGAACATACTTGACATGACTTAATAATCGACATTCTCAAATATCATGTCTTAACTGTTGCCAACGCACACATAATACAAAAATAGACATGAGTTTGTAACGGGTGCGGTCATGGAGCCTCTTCGCGAACCTCTTCGCGAACTCCCGGCGTAGTATTGATTCATAAGCACATGTTCATATAGTCAGAATCTTAAAATCGATAATGTAAATAGAAACGATAAAACCCTTTCCACATCCATAAGAAATCTCTGCTAAATCTGTGTGTTTGTTTGACGCCACATTCAGCAGTATTACAGATGTCTGTAAGACATTCTTGTCTGGACCCGACAATCCAGTGATTGACACCATGAGATAAGATGACAGAGCATGTATTTGTGAACCACTACCAGGAGTTCGCGAAAAGGTGAGCGTATTGTGCCCCAATGGTGGCACCCGTCATAAACATATGCAAAGGCTAGTAAAGAATATGACATTTTTAAAGGGTTTTGCCACTTTTATTTATTGGATAAAGAAAGTACTAGAACCATTATGGCTTTATTATTTAACTCAGAATATAGCTTCAGCCATGTTTAGTCTGTGTAGATTTAACTACAACTAATAGTTCAATACAGGCGTTAATGGTCTACATGACATATCACATTTATGAACAGATATCGCTGTTTGTGGGAGACATTTATCATGGGACGCTTTCATCACTGGCGTTACAGTCTGGCTCTCACATGTAGATATGATCGTGAGGGCAAATGCCTATAAATAACGTATACTGTTGACAGGAGTGAGAGAGCATCAGGTTTTATCAGCTTTCAACAGTATTGCTGTTATCATGGCTTGTCAGTTGTATTTGTGGAGGACCTGGTGACGGAAAGTCGGTCTCAGATCGTGAGCCATATTATGGAAACCTACTTCCGCGGGCATGATGCGGTAATGATCAAGGGGAAATGCGACTCGTTATCAGCGGATCCTGGCGTTTCTAAGGGATGTGATGTGTGTGGCTACGTGTATCTGTGTGTATGCTTGAGTGTGCTGTGTGCGTGTGATGTGTTTTTGTGCGGTTTTGGTTTACCTATTTCTGTGTGTCACACTTATAATGTAACTAATATGATAAATGTTTCAAAACATTTAAAATATACTCAGTCAAGTTTGTTTGATACAGCTGCCAAAAATACACACTTCGTCCTTAGGCAAGAAAGATTCCACGGCAACTATCAACAGTAAGGGAGCATCCAATAGATTTCTCTCGTAGGGGGGTTATATAAATGAATAGTTTGTCCAGAAAAAATCCCCAGATTAATAATTGGAGGAAAAGGGAGTACTTCATGTTGTTGAAAATCCCAAATGTAAATGTTTGTGTTGATAGTGAGAATTAATTGTTTGATGGTGCTAAGTAAACAGTTGGACGCAGCTCTCCTCCCTCTACCCCCACACAAATCAAATGGATCCTGCCTGATCAGTAGGGCGGTGGGGTAGCCTAGTGGTTAAAGCGTTTGCTCTTCACGCCGAAGGCCTGGCATCAATTCCCAACATGGGTACAATGTGTGACCCCCATTTCTGGTGTCCCCTGCTGTGATATTGCTGGAACATTGCTCAAAGCGGCGTAAAACCATACTCACTCATTCCCTACTGATCAGCAGTAGGCATCATCTTGACGTCATCTAATGATACACACAGTATGTGACATGCCGTTGTTGCCGGCTATGGAGAGTGACATTCCTCGGGTTGTCGTGTGATAGGGACTCGTATGATTGATGTTCATAGTAACTGTTTGTTTCTCACAATGATAAACGTTTCCAATGTGTCTGACTTCGGGCTTCCTTGTAACATAACACACCGTTAACCTTTACCTACTAAGTCAATCTCTAGTCACAAATACAGTGCAGGAATATGTGTGTGGCGTGCGTGCATTTGTGCGGGCGTGCATGTGTGCATCCAGTGTGCGTGTATAAGTGTGGCGCAGCTTATGTTTATGTGTGAATGTTAACGATGGCTGCGTTACATTTAGAAGTTAGTCTCA